TTGTATACAGGACACCTGTGAATAGCGTCGATGAACTGAGAGAAGGAATTGTTGCTAATTGTGAGGTAATTAAGCAAAAGGAAGGAATATTCCATAGAGCTCGTCGGAATTTTTTAAGAAGAAACAGAATTAATTTATGCATTGAAGAGGAAGGACGTCACTTTGAACATTTGATTTGAATGTATAATTTGTATTTGTATTGTTCTAGTAACTTATGTATTTTAACCTTATGATTTTGTTAGTAGGTAGGTTTATTTGTTGAGGGCGTTATTTTTTATTATTTATCATTAACCATCATCAGGGTAACAACAAATGTTCACAAAAATTACTATCTGTAGCACAAAAAAGTTGGAACCATTCAAATCAAAATAAAGGCTCGTATGTGGCAATTTCTACAAAATGCGAAAAAACGGTGGGCAAATTCTTAATCCTCATCACGAAAAACTCCCATATACGTAATTTCGTCAAAATATTATGAGTGTGGCAAAAGGTACTGCAATAAAACTGCAAATAAAATTTAATTTTGACACCCTGTAACTCCGTTAATAATCAGTTTTGGAGAAAATGTGAAAGAGGTAGCATTTATTTTCGGTCTAGAATTATCCCCTGAATTTTTTGCTCATCATTTCCAAATAATTTTTGATAACAATTGTAATGATGTGTAAAATAAATTGACAACAGTTTTTCACAGCCTACTTCAGATAAGTTGACTGCTTACAGATTGTATCTTACATTTTTGTGGTATGTAACACTATTATTAAAATAATTGCCCTGTATACATTTCATCAAATTTGAAGTTTAATATTTTTAATTTGTTTTAGAAGGCAGAACTTTTTATAGAATATTATTTTTTTCATAAATTTAATAACAAAAAGTTTCTGGTATGTACCCAGTAAACACACTGTATAGGCAGGTGGAGGGTGTACAGCCATTTATGTAAGCTGGCACATTCTTAGAAGTCTGGAAGAAAAATGGTAAGTAATTTTTTTTAACTAGTTTAACAATTTTTTATTCGTATTAATTATCTATTTTACATATTCTCTAAGCAGAAAAATCTTAAAGACTGGAGTAAGTACACATTCTTAGCTAAAGTTTTTAAATAGTAATCTAAACCAAAAAATCTCAGAAAGTATTTTGTCAGTTTTTTAGGTTATACCTAGTTAAGATGATCTAAAAAATTTTATTTTAAATTATTTCTTGCTTTTAGGTGGTATCAGAGAAACTTAAAAATTCAGAGATTATTACGTCAGTTTTTTAAGGTGAGTACCAAGTCATAAGATGATCTAAAAAATATTATTTTAAATTATTTCTTTCTTTCAGGTGGTATCAGAGACTTCAAAATTGAGAGATTATTACGTCAGTTTTTTAAGGTGAGTACTTACCTAATCAAGATCAAAAATTTTAATTTAATTATTTCTTACTTTCAGGTGACATCAGAGAAACTTCAAAATTATTATTTCAAATTTATTGGAATTTATTGGAATTATTTTTATTGGAAATCAGAAAGTAAGTATGTGAACAGTATTCAATAAAAAATAAAATGTTATTTTAATATAGTGCAAAAAAGTTCAAAAACAATCTAAAGATTAAAATTTATAATCTTAATTAAAACATTTTGACTTTTCGAGTCATTTTTTAGTGTACTGATTTTGGATGAATACTTTTATTTTTTGCCAATCTTTATTTTTTAATAAGTCTTGATGTTTCTTCTTCAGGTCTTCACACTCTGATCTCTTAGGCGGTTTATGGGCTTTAATATTCTCTTTAAAGTAATGGAGTACAATTTTTTTCTGGGCTTCCGTCCATGGGATCAAAATTCTTTTTTTAAATTTTGTTTTCTTTTCAATAGTTGATTCTTTATTCAAGTCAGGTAAATTTGAGTTTTTTGCGGCCTGAATTGTTTCAGCTAAAAGATCATCTAAATCTTCATTATTATCTTTTGCTTCTAACAATTCTGTATCATTATTATTATGTTCCATATCTAAGAGATCTTCGTCTATATTTATATTGATATCATCAAGAGTTTTTCCTTTAAACTGACCTGCCTCTCCTTTTTCCATTAAGAGCAATAATTTAGATATTTTCGCCGTCTGATATACATCATCGGGCAATCTATATGATGACCTGTGTACTCCAAGTGTGTGACCCATAAACGACGATAGCTGTTCCATATCATTTTCTGTTAAATGAAAAAGTTGCGTAAGAGTAGCCAAATGCTTTCTTAATCTAGTACATGTTAAAGCATCTGGATTTTTAGCTCCACAAGCTACTGCATATTTTCTTAAAATTTTGTATCCATAAATAGGGTTCTTGGTGCTTGGATTTCCAAATAGGTATAAGTTTGGCTTTTGAGTGATGTCTGCCCTAAGAGACATCAAAATTTTTATATGATTTTGAACGTCTTTGGAAAATAATACTGGGACCCCTCTTCCTCTTTTGCCGCGAATAACAATACGCTTAAAATGATTCATTAGAAATTTCTCAACGTCAGAAACAGCTTCTGAAAATTCCTCGTATGTTGTTGGATCATCATTTACTAGAGAACATTGGTAGGTATGTAATAAAAATCGCTGTAATTCGCCAGGTCGCCTTCTGTTAAGAAGTATTGTTCGACAAAAAACAGTTTCCAGTAAAATAATGTACGCGTTTCTATTACTCCCATCTTGGTTCAAGCAGTTTATAGCTTCCTCCGCCTTTTTAAGTAGATATTCTTTTAGCAATTTTAAGTCAGTAGCTAAAGGCACTAAAGTTATTTTATTCCACTTTTTAACATTCAAATCGTTATTAGCTTGACTTGATATATCATATTTCCAGTGGGCTTCAATTAATTTAATAGTAGTTTTCAATTCTTCTTCTGATTCAGCTGCAGACATTGTACCAAAAGAATGTTTACGTCTCAAAATGTCTTTAACAGCGATATCACAGCTTTGTTTTAATGTTCCCATATTAATGGCATATGTTGGAGATTCATAATATTCTTCTCCTGCATTATATTTCGCGACTATTTTGGTAGCACTTACGAGAAGATCATAATAATTGGGTTTTAAAGCTTCAAATAAATTTGTTATATTAACATCTAGTTTTTTTAATTCAATNAGATATACGGTGCACCTAATTAAGTTCTTTTTTTATAATTAAATTCATGAAAAAATTAATTTTTCATAAAAAGTTACTGCGTCTAAAACAACTACAGAGTGTACCGAAATTAGCCTGCAATAATTTACCGGCGCATTCTATGACCAAAAATAAGAAAAAAAGGTTATATAAATGTAGGCCGGGAAACGCCTCAAATATTTTCAAAACTGTTAGAAATAAAACAATGAAGTTTAAAACTGAGTATTACCATTAAGTTGTGAATCGTTCTGAATATTCATTAGAACATTATAAATTATTAAATTAAATATAATATGATAAAATATAATAAATAAAATAACGGTACATACAATGTATAATATAATAATAAAATAATATATTAAATATAATAAAATATAATAAATTATTATTAAATAATTTCGTATAAGTAGTCATATACGTGCCCTACTGGAAAGCTTGGGATAAATATTGCTCTAAGCTTTATGCATCTCAAGTTTTTCGTAGTTTGACCAAGAAAATGATAAATTTTAAAAAATAGAGGTGCTCTTGTTCACTTCGACAAATTGCACCGTTTTCGAGTAAGATTAACATTGTGTTAGCTGCCACAAAATGTAAAATATGGTCAACTTAACCAAGTGGATTGTGAAAAACTAGTGACAATTTATTTTACACATAATTACAATTGTTTCTAACATTATGTGGAGTTTCAAAGTTGAAAAGAAATAACAATACAATAAAAAATTGCTTTTTGCTAGTGAATAATAACACCATGAGAAGTTCGAAATTAAGTTATTATTAATTACCTACTAGAAAAAAAATTCTATAATTTTTCTATCAAACTTTTTTAATTTTCTTTTTATTGTCGCAAAAGAAAAGTTTGTCTGCCGCACCCTATATATTAATACTCCAAATAATTTATGAAAATAATTGTAATGATGTGTAAAATAAATTGACAATAGTTTTTCACAGCCTACTTCAGATAAGTTGACTGCTTACAGATTGTATCTTACATTTTTGTGGTATGTAACACTATTATTAAAATAATTGCCCTGTATACATTTCATCAAATTTGAAGTTTAATATTTTTAATTTGTTTTAGAAGGCAGAACTTTTTATAGAATATTATTTTTTTCATAAATTTAATAACAAAAAGTTTCTGATATTACCCAGTAGACACACTATATAGGCAGGTCTAGGGTGTACAGTCATTTATGTAAGCTGGCACATTCTTAGAAGAAGTCTGGAAGAAAAATGGTAAGTAACTTTTTTAACTAGTTTAACTATTTTTTATTCGTATTAATTATCTATTGAAGACTGGAGTAAGTACACATTCTTAGCTAAAGTTTTTAAATAGTAATCTAAACCAAAAAATCTCAGAAAGTATTTTGTCAGTTTTTTAAACTATACCTAGTTATAAGCTGATGTAAAAAATTTTATTTTAAATTATTTCTTGCTTTCAGGTGGTATCAGAGAAACTTCAAAATTATTATTTCAAATTTATTGGAATGCTATTAATCAGAAAGTAAGTATGTGATCAGTATTCGATAAAAAATAAAATATTATTCTAATATAGTCCAAAAAAGTTCAAAAACAATCTAAAGATTAAAATTTATAATCTTAATTAAAACATTTTGACTTTTCAAGTCATTTTTTAGTGTACTGATTTTGGATGAAAACTTTTATTTTTCTTGATGTTTCTTCTTCAGGTCTTCACACTCTGATCTCTTAAGGGGTTTACGGGCTTTAATATTCTCTTTAAAGTAATGGAGTACAATTTTTTCTGGGCTTCCGTCCATTGGATCAAAATTATTCTTTAAATTTTGTTTTCTTTTCAATAGTTGAATCTTTATTCAAGTCAGGTAAATTTGAGTTTTGTGCGGCCTGAATTGTTTCAGCTAAAAGATCATCTTAATCTTCATTATTATTTTTTGCTTCTAACAATTCTGTATCATTATTGTTATGTTCCATATCTAATAAATTTTCGTCTATATTTATGTTGATATCATCAAGAGTTTTTCCTTTAAACTGACATGCCTCTCCTTTTTCCATTAAGAGCAATAATTTAGATATTTTCGCCGTCTATACATCATCGGGCAATCTATATGATGACCTGTGTACTCCAAGTGTGTGACCCATAAACGACGATAGCTGTTCCATATCATTTTCTGTTAAATGAAAAAGTTGCGTAAGAGTAGCCAAATGCTTTCTTAATCTAGTACATGTTAAAGCATCTGGATTTTTAGCTCCACAAGCTACTGCATATTTTCTTAAAATTTTGTATCCATAAATAGGGTTCTTGGTGCTTGGATTTCCAAATAGGTATAAGTTTGGCTTTTGAGTGATGTCTGCCCTAAGAGACATCAAAATTTTTATATGATTTTGAACGTCTTTGGAAAATAATACTGGGACCCCTCTTCCTCTTTTGCCGCGAATAACAATACGCTTAAAATGATTCATTAGAAATTTCTCAACGTCAGAAACAGCTTCTGAAAATTCCTCGTATGTTGTTGGATCATCATTTACTAGAGAACATTGGTAGGTATGTAATAAAAATCGCTGTAATTCGCCAGGTCGCCTTCTGTTAAGAAGTATTGTTCGACAAAAAACAGTTTCCAGTAAAATAATGTACGCGTTTCTATTACTCCCATCTTGGTTCAAGCAGTTTATAGCTTCCTCCGCCTTTTTAAGTAGATATTCTTTTAGCAATTTTAAGTCAGTAGCTAAAGGCACTAAAGTTATTTTATTCCACTTTTTAACATTCAAATCGTTATTAGCTTGACTTGATATATCATATTTCCAGTGGGCTTCAATTCATTTAATAGTAGTTTTCAATTCTTCTTCTGATTCAGCTGCAGACATTGTACCAAAAGAATGTTTACGTCTCAAAATGTCTTTAACAGCGATATCACAGCTTTGTTTTAATGTTGTTCCCATATTAATGGCATATGTTGGAGATTCATAATATTCTTCTCCTGCATTATATTTCGCGACTATTTTGGTAGCACTTACGAGAAGATCATAATAATTGGGTTTTAAAGCTTCAAATAAATTTGTTATATTAACATCTAGTTTTTTTAATTCAATTAAAAGCTTAGCTAATTCGCGCATTTTTCTAGAAGCGACATTAACGCAATGTTGCTCTCGATGAATTTTTATGTATCGTGCCGCAAAACTACAAATAAGATGATCTTTTTTTGCAACCATTGAAATATGATCACCCCTCATTCGTGGAAAAACAGTTTCTCTAAGTCTAGAATCTATTTTCAGGTAACGAAGAAGGAAATTCTGTCCCTCAGCTAGTGAAGATCCGTTGGAAGACTTTGGGGCTTCTTTACAAATTTTACGTTGTTTCCATAAATTTTTCGACGAATAGAAGCCCATGCAATATGGACAAGGTAAGTAATTTGAATTTAAATTTTTTCGCATAGGTTTGCCATTTTTGCTTTCACCTAGATAGTTTCCCTTTTTTCTTAAAGAAGTTAACATATCCTTTCTTTGTTTGCTACCTTTAGGAAAAGTTAACATCCGCTGAACATCTATTTCTAAGTGATGATTTCTTTCTAAATGCCTCGCAAAATTTAAAACTTTATCTTCACAGAATACACATATATTTTTATTTTTTTTATTACTGACTGTTGCTGCATTTGTTTCTATATTCTCAGATAAGTTTTTAATGTTTTTTTCTCTAATTATAATATTTTCCCTAATTATAATTTTTTTACTTTTAGGTAAAGCAACCGAAGCTTCAGAATCCTGAAACAGAAAAATCAGTATATATTTTTTGTAGACAAATGCGTTTTTTCTAAATCGATAGAAGAAAATTAATTACTGTTATTGTTATTTTAATCAACCGAAAAATGTTCAATTTCTTTCTATTACTTAAAAAAAAAATTGTAATTATTTTGTGAACTTTGAAATTATTTTAATAAAGAAACGTCTTGGAACAATTTGTGGCATGTTGTTGTTTTATCTTTTTTTTCCAGTAAAAAAATACAAAAGAACATTAATTACACATATAAGCTTAGTCAAACTACACTGTCGTGATTGATGAAAATAATAATTAGGGTTTGTCAAAAATAATTTTATCCATATTTCCGGAAGGAATTACAAGGTATTTATTCAAAATTTTATTCATATTTATTATTATTATACACTGTTATATTATGTAATATTATATTATGTTATATTTTTTGAATTCGAATGTTGTTTACAGAATTCCCAATCAATTTGTGGCAAAATAGGTATCCAATAATATGTTCATAAAGTTTACTAGTCTTGAGACAATCGAAGTTAAAAAATCCACAAAAAACTTAACCATTTTTTAAATCTCAAGACTGGCCTTGAGATAATTGAAGTTTAAAAAAAACATGAAAATCCACTGAAATTTTATTATAAAAATTTAAACAATTTTTTAAAAATGTTAACAGTAACTTTCCATGAAACACGAAATAACAAAAATTTTATATGACAAAAACCAATTATTTTCATCAATAGTATATGGTAGTGAGTTTGATGTGTTAAATTATTATTGTCTAAGCAAGAACTATTCTACTTTTTTGATCACAAGGCCCTAAGGAAAAAAATTGGTCAAACATTAAGCCCCGAGTGATTTTTTGGAATAAGGGTTTACATATTTCATTTTTATATTTT